TGGGTAGTGGTGGTGGTGACTGTGGGTGGTGGTGGTTGTGGCAGTGGGTGGTTGTGGTAACAGTGGGTGGTGGTGACAGTGGGTGGTGCTCGTGACAGTGGGTGGATTTGGTGGTGATAGAGGGTGGTGTTGGTGGTGACAGTGGGTGGTGGTGACAGTGGGTGGATTTGGTGGTGACAGTGGGTGGTGGTGGTGACAGTGGGTGGTGGTGGTGACAGTGGGTGGTTTTGGTGGTGGCAGTGGGTGGTGATGGTGACAGTGGGTGGTGGTGGTGATGACAGTGGGTGGTGGTGGTGGTGACATTGGGTGGTGGTAGTGACAGTGGATGGTGGTGGTGGTAACAGTGGGGGCTGATGGTGATGACAGTGGGTGGTGGTGGTGACAGTGGGTGGTGCTGGTGACAGTGGGTGGTGCTGGTTGTGGAAGTGGGTGGTGGTGACAGTGGGTGGTGGTGACAGTGGGTGGTGGTGACAGTGGGTGGTGGTGACAGTGGGTGGTGGTGGTGGTGACAGTAGGCGGTGGTGGTGGTGGTGGTGGTGTTGGTGTTGGTGACAGTGGGTGGTGGTGGTGGTGACATTGGGTGGTGGTGGTGACAGTTGGTGGATATGGTGGTGACATTGGGTGGTGGTGGTGACAGTGGGTGGATTTGGTGGAGACAGTGGGTGGTGGTGGTGACAGTAGTGGTGGGTGGTGGTGGTGACTACACAGAGACTACCACACTCCCCAGTATCACTTCCAAAACTGGACAAACCATTGCCAAAACAACACACCCTGGGTCAAGGTAGAGAGGAGGGAGAACTACCAAAACCTTCCAGAAGTGACACACACAATATGGACAATCATTCATATTTGCAAACATTCAAGGTTTAAAGCCAAAGTCAAGATATAAAGTTAAGTTCATAAATGGCCTCCTATTAGAGTCAAACTCAATATTTGGGGCATTCACGGAAACTCATACAAAAGATTACATGGATGGTGTAATCTGGATTCCAAATTATAATTTATATAGATGTGATAGAAAAACTAGGTCAAATGGAGGAGTAGGTCTGTATATTAAAAAAGACCTGGTATGCACAGAACTACTAAACTCAACTAATGAGGTGGTAGAGGTACTTGGAATTAAGGTAGAGAAACTAAACCTAATTATTATTCTAATATAAAAACCGCCAGATACAACGATTGAGGAATTCACAGAGCAGATGCACAAAATAGAGAACATACTTGACAACCTATCAAACCCAGCTCCAGATATTATCTTCCTTGGAGATTTCAATTTACCGAGTCTAAGATGGAGAATGGCAAACACGAATATCATAGCAGGGAATGACCCGGGAAATAACCAACCACTGGTCAGAGAACTTTTGAGATTCTGTGACAAATTCTCGCTCAATCAACAGATTACAGAACCAACTAGGAACGAAAACACACTAGACTTGTTATTCACAAACAATGATGAACTAATCAGAGACATCACAATCTCAGATACTTCATACTCAGACCATAACCTCATTGAAGTGCGAACTAGCATAAATAACGGTAGTAGGTCTAAGAGACCCAACAAGCGAGAAGGAATATTCAATCAATTCAATTTCAACAATAAGAGGATTGACTGGGAGAAAATAAATGTAGACCTTGCAACCATTCAATGGGAGACGGTCTTAAGGGACAAAACTCCCACACAGGGAATAGCTCAACTGACAGCTGAAGCTTACAAGGTCTGCTTGAAGCACGTACCTGTGAGGAGGGGCAGAAAGAGGACCACTCTAGAAAGAGAACGCACACGACTGTACAGGAGAAGGAAAAAATAACGGAAATGCTTCGGCAGACACAACTATCACAAGCAAGGAAAACAAGTGTAAGCAGGGAGATCAAAGAAATAGAACAAACGTTGAAGCAATCATATGAGTCTGAGGAAATGGAATTGGAACAGAAAGCTATACAAGAGATAAGGAAAAATCCGAAATATTTTTTCACATACGCAAAATCAAAATCCAAAACCTCGACCAGTATTGGACCGTTAATTACAAATGAAGGTACGTACACAGAGGACAACAGAGATTAGTGAAATTCTAAAAAGCCAGTATGAGGCTATGTTTAGCACACCAATAAACAACATGAAAGTTGATGACCCAGACAGCTTCTTTATGAATGACATTCAAGCTGCAGATAATATAACGGATCTTACCACAAACTCGGAAGGCTTTGAAAGAGAAATTGACAATATGCCTATGCACTCAGCTCCTGGGCCTGACTCATGGAATTCAATATTCATAAAGAAATGTAAAGTACCAGTAGCGAGAGCACTCAGCGTAATATGGAGAAAGAGCCTGGATACAGGGGAGATACCAGCAGCACTTAAATCTGCAGATATAGCTCCGTTGCACAAGGGGGGGAGTAAAGCCTTGGCAAAAAATTATAGGCCAGTTGCACTAACATCACACATAATAAAAGTGTTTGAAAGAGTGATTAGGAATCAAATTTCTAGTTTTATGGAAAACAATGAATTGCACAATCCAGGACAACATGGATTTAGAGCGGGAAGACCCTGTCTGTCACAGTTACTCAACCACTATGACAAAATCACAGAAGCTCTAGAAGAAAAGCAAAATACAGATGTTGTATACACAGACTTTGCAAAGGCGTTCGACAAATGTGACCATGGGGTGATAGCTCACAAAATGAGGTTAATGGGAATAACTGGAAAAGTAGGACGCTGGATACTCAATTTCCTGTCGAACAGAACACAAAGAGTAACAGTCAATCAGATAAAATCGAGTCCAAGCGATGTTAAAAGCTCTGTACCTCAAGGTACAGTCCTTGCACCGCTACTGTTCCTTATTCTCATATCTGATATAGACAAAAATACACGTCACAGCTTCGTGTCGTCCTTTGCAGATGACACAAAAATCAGCATGAAAATTACCTCTGCTGAAGACATTGAAAAACTACAAGCAGATGTCAACAAAGTTTTCGATTGGGCAGCGGAAAATAATATGATGTTTAACAGTGATAAATTTCAGGTACTCAGGTACGGCAAAAATGAGGATCTGAAACATAATACAGGGTACACAACACAATCGAATCTTCCCATAGTAGAAAAACAGCATGTCAAGGATTTGGGAATAATGATGTTCGACGACCTAACGTTTAGGGAGCATAACCAAGCAAATATCGCATCAGCCAGAAAAATGATCGGATGGATTACGAGAACTTTCAAATCCAGGGATCCCATCACAATGGTTGTACTCTTCAAGTCACTTGTGTTGTCCCGTCTCGAGTACTGCTCAGTACTCACTTCCCCCTTCAGAGCAGGAGAGATTGCTGAAATAGAGGGAATACAGAGAACATATACGGCACGCATAGACGAGATAAAACACCTAAATTATTGGGATCGTCTCAAAACTCTCCAAATGTACTCTCTAGAAAGGAGACGAGAGAGATACCAAATAATACACACATGGAAAATACTGGAGGGTCAGGTCCCAAATCTACACAGTAAAATAACAACGTACTGGAGTGAACGATATGGAAGAAAATGCAAGATTGAACCTGTGAAGAGCAGAGGTACCATAGGCACAATCAGAGAACACTGTATAAACATCAGAGGTCCGCGGTTGTTCAACGTCCTCCCAGCGACTATAAGAAATATTGCCGGAACAACCGTGGGCATCTTCAAGAGAAAACTGGACGGTTTTCTAAGAGAAGTTCCGGATCAGCTGGGCTGTGGTGGGTACGTGGCCCTGCGGGCCGCTCCAAGCAACAGCCTGGTGGACCAAACTCTCACAAGTCGAGCCTGGCCTTGGGCCGGGCTTGGGGAGTAGAAGAACTCCCAGAACCCCATCAACAAGGTATCAACCAGTAGGTGGTTGTGGTGATGACAGTAGGTGGTGGTGGTGTTAGTGGGTGGTGGTGGTGACAGTGGGTGGTGGTGGTGGTGACAGTGGTTGGTGGTGGTGGTGACAGTGGGTGGTGGTGGTGGTGACAGTGGGTGGTGGTGGTGGTGGTGGTGACAGTGGGTGGTGGTGGTGGTAACAGTGGGTGGTAGTGACAGTGGGTGGTGGTGGTGTCAGTGGGTGGTGGTGGTGGTGGTGACAGTGGGTGGTGGTGGTGGTGACAGTGGGTGGTGGTGGTGACAGTGGGTGGTGGTGGTGGTGACAGTGGGTGGTGGTGGTGGTGACAGTGGGTGGTGGTGGTGACAGTGGGTGGTGGTGGTGACAGTGGGTGGTGGTGGTGACAGTGGGTGGTGGTGGTGGTGTCAGTGGTAGTGGTGACAATGGGTGGTTGTGGTGGTGACAGAGGGTAGTGGTGGTGGTGTCAGTGGGTGGTGGTGGTAGTGGTGACAGTAGGTGGTGGTGGTGACAGTGGGTGGTGGTGACAGTGGGTGATAGTGGTGGTGACGGGGTGGTTGTGGTGGTGTCAGTGGGTGGTGGTGACAGTGGGTGGTGGTGGTGACAGTGGGTGGTGGTGGTTGTGTTGGTGACAGTGGGTGGTTGTGGTGGTGACAGTGGGTGGTTGTGGTGGTGACAGTGGATAGTGGTGGTGACAGTGGGTGGTGGTGGTGACAGTGGGTGGTGGTGACAGTGGATAGTGGTGGTGGTGGTGACAGGGGTGGTGGTGGTGACAGTGGGTGGTGGTGACAGTGGGTGATAGTGGTGGTGACAGAGGGTGGTTGTGGTGGTGTCAGTGGGTGGTGGTGGTGGTGACAGTGGGTGGTGACAGTGGGTGGTGGTGGTTGTGTTGGTGACAGTGGGTGGTTGTGGTGGTGACAGTGGGTGGTTGTGGTGGTGACAGTGGATAGTGGTGGTGGTGGTGACAGTGGGTGGTGGTGGTGACAGTGGATAGTGGTGGTGGTGGTGACAGTGGGTGGTGGTGGTGACAGTGGGTGGTGGTGACAGTGGGTGATGGTGACAGTGGGTGGTGGTGGTGGTGACAGGGGGGTGGTTGTGGTGGTGTCAGTGGATGGTGGTGGTGGTGACAGTGGGTGGTGGCTTATTGCTCACCTGCCCCGCGAGCAGGTCATCGTCAGAATGAAACTTCTCATAAACGTAAGCTTGATATTAATATACTTCTCTTACCAGTATTACATTTTCATCATCATCATCCACTTGCAAGCAAATACACATGCATAATAATATTTTCCCCATTCACCCGTGCTGAGTATCATTTTGTTCCACTTCAGGTTATAATCCTTACCTCAATCGACAGAGGGAACAGATAGACGTCATCGAGTCGGTATCCCATCCATCCCACACTCAGCTAAGGAGAGCTTATGTCACTCGCGAGCATCCACCGCTCCGTCAACAAGGGCGGCAGCGCCAGCAGATGGAGGGCTACGAGACATTATCATGCCCAGTTAACACCACGTTAAGGATTCAAAGCCTCACACCTGCTCAACCCCCTCACCAGGACACAAGTAAGTTATTACTGTCTTATTTCAGTCTATTTCCTAAGCATATTAATTCCCACTACCTGTTCCCTCACCTCAATATGTATATATATATATATATATATATATATATATATATATATATATATATATATATATATATATATATATATATATATATATATATATATATATATATATGTGTGTGTGTGTGTGTGTGTGTGTGTGTGTGTGTGTGTGTGTGTGTGTGTGTGTTGTAACTAGTAGCCAGAACGCAGTTCTTTACCTACTATGCAAGGCCCGATTTGCCTAATAAGCCAAATTTTCGAGAATTTCAATATTTTTCTCATTTTTTTCTTATGAAATGATAAAGCTTACCATTTCATTATGTATGAGCTAATTTTTTTCTAATTTGAGTTAAAACTAACATAGATATATGACCGAACCTAACCAACCCTACCTAACCTAACCTAACCTATCTTAACCTAATCTAAACTAACACAACTAAGTCAATAAATTATGGTCTTAATATGAAATAATAATAATAATTCAAATAAACTATTTGGAAAAAAAATGATTGAAAATAAAGAAAATCACTCGGCCTATTAGGCAAATCGGGACTTGCGTAGTAGGCTGAGAAGTGCGTTCTGGCTACTAGGTACGACATATATATATATTGTTGATGATATAGATATATTGTTGTTATATATATATATTGTAGCTCATGCAGCAGCTCATTTCCGCCAGGCTCGGCAGGGGGGTACACTGGAGTAAGACCTCAGCACCTCAAGGAGATGGTAAACCCAGTTCTCGGAGAAGTTGCCGAGACACTATTGTCAGAGGTCACGAAGTTTGTCAACGACTGTCTCTCTGGGTTGATCCCAGATACAATTAAACCCTTTTTCTTTGGAGCATCCCTTTGTGCCCTCAAGAAGAAAGATGGTGGAGTCAGACCCATTGCTGTGGGTAACACACTTCGGCGCCTTGTTGCTAGGGCAGCTGTCAGAAAAATTAGCATAGACGCTGCGACGATGCTTCGACCCCATCAACTAGGTTTTGGTGTCCCCCATGGCTGTGAAGCAGCAGCTCATGCAGCACGAGCCTATATCAAGCACCTCCCAGAAAATAAGGCATTAATTAAATTAGACTTTAAAAATGCCTTCAACCAGGTAAAAAGGGATGTGGTACTGGAAGCAGTTCGAACAAGCTTTCCTTCTCTACTCCCCTTCGTCTCAGCAGGGTACAGTAGGGAATCGACGCTGCTGTTTGGGGAACATGAAGTTGTTTCTGCAGAAGGTGTCCAGCAGGGAGACCACTTGTCCCTTTTCTTTTTTGCATGGCTGTTAAAGAGGTCACAAGCAGGTTGACCAGCGAACTCAACATCTGGTTCCTGGACGATGGCACCCTGGCAGGGACACAGGAGTCCCTGCTAGAAGATCTACAGCTGGTGAAATCTAAGGGAGAGGAGTTAGGACTCACCCTAAACCCATTAAAGTGTGAAATCATCTCATCTAGCCAACCAACCATAGATGCAGTGCGAACCATATTGCCAGGAGCCCAAGTGATCGCTCCCACCGACAGTGTGCTGCTAGGGGCACCTCTGGGCTCGAGCGCCATTGAGGTAGTCCTCGAAGAAAAGCTGAACGACCTGAGGAGGATGGAGGGTAGAATAGGGGCTTTGGACGCCCATGATGCTTTGTACCTTCTCACAAGGTGCCTGGCTTTGCCCAGACTGACCTATTTCCTAAGGTGTGCTCCCTCCTTCGACAGCCCAAAATTAACAGAATATGACACACTCCTAAGGTCAATAACCATGAAAGTGTTAAACCTCTCCCTGCAAGATGACCAATGGGACCAAGCAACGCTCCCAGTTAGACTCGGGGGTATAGGTATTCGCAAGGCGACACAGTTAGCATTGCCAGCATTCTTATCCTCGACCAGTGCAACAGGTGAATTAGTTAAGGAAATACTACCGGAACACCTAAGAGACTCCATTGGGATTCATGATCCCAAATTCGCGGAAGGAGCCGGTCAGTGGGACACTCTCGTCAACTCTCATCCTCGACCGACTTTTCCAAATGACTGCAAACAGTCCAAATGGGATAGCCCCATTTTGGAGAACATCGCCACATCATTGCTGGAGGCAGCTTCCAGGAAGGACAAAGCTCGTCTTATAGCTGTGCAAGCGCCCCATGCCGGGGACTTCCTGTTGGCAGTCCCTAATTCCGCCTTGGGCACCCGCCTGGACCATCGGACCCTAAGTATTGGTATTGCTCTGCGCCTTGCCGCCCCTATCTCCACCGAGCACCGGTGTATTTGCGGCCATGCACGGGCAGACCAATACGGCAGCCATGGTCTCATCTGTCGTAAGACACAGGGAAAGATTGCCAGACATGAAGCAGTCAATGACATCATCAAGAGAAGTTTGGCTTCAGCTGGGTGCCCAGCACAAAGGGAACCTCAGTTGTGCAGACCTGACAACAACCAAAAACGCCCAGATGGAGTCACCCTGCAGCCGTGGAGGGAAGGTAAACAGGTCGTGTGGGACTACACGTGTGCATCCACATTGGCTGATACCTATCTACCTTACAGCGCAGCTGAGGGAGGCGGGGCAGCCACCTTCAGGGAGACCCAGAAAACTAACAAGTACAGGGACCTAGAACGTTGTTACAGGTTCGTGCCAATAGGCTCTGAGACTCTGGGCGCCTGGGGTAAATGTGCACTTAAGTTCCTGAAGGAGCTGGGCGAGGAACTCATTGGGAAGACTAGAGACCCAAGAGCGGCCAGTTTTATGTTCCAGCGCCTCAGTGTCGCTGTTCAGAGGGGTAATGCGTGCTGTATCTTGGGTACGCACCCGACCCCCGAGGAGCTGGACGAGGTCTTTGAACACTGATTGGTATATTGTTATATAAGTGTGTGCATTGCAATAAAATCAAATAAAAAAAAAATAATGGGGGTGGTAGGGGAGGAAAAGATTAAAGTATTCAGTGGAATCCACAAGGTCTTCTCTGAACACTATTTATTTTCTTCTTCGAGGATGTGGGTCCCTTTAATTAAACCAGTGGTGGTACCCCTAAATATATATATATACATATAAATATATATATTGTGACGATAATCTCTTTCAAGAGAGATTGAGCCTGCTCTTCCCTATATCATTCACGTCATGTTACAAGTACAAGATACTTTATTGAAGATACGTCCACCAGTATCGCCAAACGTTTTGCCCAGGAAGCAAAGCGTACCTTGCACCACCCGACATGCCGGCTCCCCCGCCCGCCATCAACGAGCAAACTACCCATTCTCCGCCTGCCTGCTCCTGATTGGCTGGTGTATTGCCGACCGCACCTGCACCTGCACTCACGCCCCCCTACCTGAGTCGACGTCTGGGCCAGCTCACGCCGTATTCCTCAGAATATCGTCTGTGCTCTAAGCAGTTGACATCTCTCTCTGGTAGACTAAGCTCAGGCTGTCGTGTACTAAGGGAGGTGGCAGCTTTTAGCCTGTATTCTCAGCACCTGATTATTATCATTATTGTCTTGCACTTCATTTTATTTTAGAGTAAATTTTACATTCATTAATTATTCATGTTGTTTTGTTTGTTGACTTGTTTTGAATTTTACGTAAGCCAAGGGATTGTCTTTGTTCATATCTTGTTTTCTAAAGTAATTAAAATTTCATTGTTTATACTTTGTGTTTTGTGTGTCTTCCCATTACCTTATCACAGGCAAACAGGCAAGCAGTCTCTTTTTTTTTTTTGTAAATGTGACAAGGCATTGCCACCTGCCATTGGAGGACTGCCGAACATCAACACTCCAACACTTTACCGTCACATTTCATGGGGGCCTGTCCGGGATGCTTCACTCAGGTACTAGTACCAGACCGTAAATTTGTGGTAAGCGTACTTGGCTTTGGTACAGTAGCTTTTCACTATTTTCAATATTCAATTTTATTTTCATATGGTGCTGTGTGTATTGTGCATTACGAGAGTAGCATATGGTGAAGGTGAGACAACTTTGGATTGCGTGGTGACTGTAGGCCTCAGTCATTCTCTTAATTGGTCATCTCTCCCTCCGTGTTATTACTCGTGTTTACCATCTTTTGTCCCTAGGATATTTCTCATATTTTCGGCAGATCATCATATTGGTACCCTGGTACTGTGGTCTGTCCCCGGGTCAAGAGCACCCAATCTTCTGCAAACCGACGGTAGGAGGATAAAGAGGGCCATAGTTCCTCTAGCACGAACTTTAGTTGCTGAATTGGGACCTCAGCAGCAGTTCTCATCACCAGTTGACACCTCGCACCCCTACACGTCGGTCAGAGATGATGATATTTACCTAGGTAGGGAATTAGCTTTCTTTTTTCAGAGCACAAAAGTTCGCTAATTCTGTAAGTATCATATTTCATTTAATTGGGGAAAACTTGCTTATGTCCTATAGAGACTCGGCAAGGTATGCCTACGTCCTTGGACTACCTAATTCACTTTTGAGGCAATTAAATGTTTCATTTGTTTTAGAAACTCAGTTTCGCTTATTTAGTAGGATTTTCTTGCCCTTATCCTCTTACATTGAGTACCGGGTACAAGATTTCCTGCGATCTTGATTTATTAATCATTTACCATCTTGAAATTAACA